TGGATGATTGTTCGTTACGTCGCGCTTGCAGGGCCACTCAGGAGAGCGTTTTGGGGGAGCGTTTGTGCTTTGGGGTTGTTGCTGCGTTGATTCTTGCTCGGCTGCAGGGCCACTGGGGACAGCGTTTTGGAGGTGTATTTTTGAGTTGCTTTCGGCAATGCCGAAGTTGTATCACCATTAAGGGCCCCAAGGTAGACGAAGTTGGCCCCAAGATGGCTCCAACGCAGCCGCAAGACAGCCAACCTGGCGCCTAGATAGCAGACATGGTCCCATGGGAAACACGTTTACTCCCTCTTTCTTTTCGCATCTGACCCTCCTTCACTTCTGACTTAGGAATCACAAACCTCCTTTATTACAGCATCACCCCGTGAAGCTCCATTTCACTAACTTCGGATGTTCGTGCGCGGTGTGGGCGGCTGTCGACGCGAAGCGTCTTGAATAAAGACACTTCAAGTAGGATCAATGAGGGAGCATGCTAGCAGCTGCTAGTAAGCGGTCTACCTTAGAATAATATTGTTTGTTGTCCCGACTCAGTGCGAGGTTTCAAGCTGAACCGGCATACGGTTCAATATGCCGGCAATGTCATTTGGAGGAAAACTCCCAGTCGTATTCGTGCCTCTGCTTGGTCGGCACCACGTGCCAATCCTCGCTCACAAGTGGCTCATACTGGTTCTCAAAGAAACGTTGTTCTTAGTTATTCAATTTTACTTAACTGCACCTTGCTAGCCCTCGCACTCGATTCCCCCCACCACCGGCAAAGTGCAGACAAGGAGGCATCATCGTAGAAGCCTTCATCCATCTTAACCATGCTAGACAGGCAAGGGACGCAATACATTTTCCGACACGCGGAACACCTTGGTGATCAGCGCCATCACGACCGTCCTCCCGTCCCCAAGTGAGTGCCTTTTCCGGTCCATAGGGCCAACTGCTACATGCATCGATGCATCGCTATCAAAATACAGCTCCCACCAATGGATCCACAAGCCGCACAAGCCCTTTGAAAAGTGCAGTATGCACCGATATCCACAATCTAGATATAGACCACAAACCTTTTGCAGGACTGGCGTGCCAAATGTTGAAAAACGCTGCCACGCGATGTTACGGCATTTCGTTGGTGGGAAGAAACATGTAAGAATCGCAGCAGCATTGGGGGTACCATTACGTCTTAGTCACCGCCTTAGTCTTAGTTCTTAATTATATACTGAATGCCGTAGAGTACAATGTCCACGGAGGACCTCTACTAGAGAAAATGCTTTCAATGAACCTAGTGGTCATTGTCATTGTGACAAGATGTGACAAGTGATAAGTGATGGCTCGCACAACACTTTGCGGGACTGCCTTGATGTCATCCTGACATGTTCCGCCACAGGTCAACAAATCTCGCCTGATCATACCAGGTGACATCCATCCCTTCGATTGCGCAGTTGCTGGTGTCACGCAGCTACCGCCAACAGCTTGAGCGATGCTACAATCCCCTCGTAGGGGCTTCCACTGCATGCTTTCCCTGACATGCCGGCACGCGTTGGACGCAAATCGTCTTGGTACCCCTACGTCCAGCGTGCCTATGGACTCGTGTAGCTGGCGTTGCCAAATCCCAAACACCGATTTCGAACTAGCGAGCACAAGGAAAATACTGGCATATGGCCTAGAGGCTGTCAGAGGGCTCAAAAGCAGTTAAGCTGTGGCCGACACAAAGAAATCATGGTGTTAAAATGGGCCAGCTCTATACTCCGAGCCTGCAGTCAGGACATTTCGGCTGGGGTTCCTCCTGCACGGCCGAGAAGCGCCAGGATGAAAAAAAAGAGCCTGTACTGTACTGAATGGGGAAGAAGCTGTTGCACTCTTGGCTGCGTTCGGTGGGTGGGCAACTTTGGTGGCTTCTCAAACCAGCTCCTGCCGCGAGCTCTCACAAACGTCTGTGTCCGTTGGGAGGTCCGTGGCAGTACTGCTAGTCCTGCAAAAAGGCACGGCAAAACGGATACATGATCAAGCAACGACTGTGTCAAACGCAGCCGGACTGAAGATCCTCCCACACACCGCGCTGCACCAATAACAATGACAATCCCTGATCTCATGTCAAAGAATGATACAGTAAAACAGCATCAAACTCTAGACTCTAGACGGGACTCTAAGCACTGGAGCACGAGCCCAGCGCACGCTACCAGCTCTTGAAGTGCAGTGACGAATACATTCAGGCCCTGCCTCGACCGTTTTTCATCATCATCATCAAGGTCGGCCCATTGATGTCGCATCTTGTTGCTGTTCATGGCTCCGACGCAGGTCTCACACTCTGCAGGGGGCAGCTGTCGCATGTTTGGGGTGGGTGGCTCTTCAGTCAAAGGATAGCTCTGGAGGTTCTGCAGCTGCACTTCTTCGGGGTTTTGACCGTCTGCCTGCTGGAGCCACTGCAAAGAAGAGCAACCTCTGCGCTCTGTTTATTCCCAAATTGTCCGACTCGCCCGACTGGTGACATTCATAAATGCATTTCTAGTTTCATCGGGCTCATTCAATGAAAAATAGCCTCTTCAACCTCTTCAACCTCTTCAACCTCCTTCACTGCTGTCAACTTTCCATCCCGTTCCATCCCTCGATGAGCTCTCCTTGCAAGGCAGCTCCAAGGAGAAAGGCCACGGACCTCCAAGCAAACACGAACCCACTGAATGAACGGTGCAAAAACCACTGCCCTCGTGAGTGCAATTTGTTTCCTTTGCTCAGCATGGGTTTCGGTTCAGCCTCGCGGCACCTGTCGCCGGAGACGCCGCTGAATTTAGAGAAGGCTGTCACGTCACTGGATCTTACTTGGTAAGGTCCACAGCATTGCAGCCAGTTCTGGACCGCCACAGCAAAGCAAGAAGCTACAATTCAACATGCGCAGCCAGTGGTGACTCATAGCAGGCAGTTGTTGGTCCAAAATACCTTATCAAAAAATTGCGCTGCAAGCCTTTGTGCAGCCTGCCGAAGGAGGCCAACGGGTCAATTGCTACAAGATAAGCCTCATTTGAGGTCCTTGCATACGCAATCAGAATTCCTCCATTTACGTGCCAGCGTCAAAGAGTTGCCTCCAAACCTGATGATGGGCCGAATGCATAATCACTATCACGCCTAGAGTCCGTCTGCTCACCTGCTCTTCCAGTCCGTCTGCGGCCAAGACACTGCAACGATGTAGGGTTTGCCTCAAGCCGTGCAAGCGTCAGCATGGCGCCTTGGCATGACCTAGCTCATGGATGCTCATGGATGCCGACTCCACGGCCAGGTCGTCTTGTGGCTCGCACTTGCGTCTCCTCAGTTCGATGCGCCAAAGTGTGTATATAGTCGAAAAATGCTTCGATGCTCTCAGTTTCATGGGTCCGCGACTTCCCTCTCCCCAAGTCAAGGGCCCAACCAGGTGTCTCGCTGCCCACGGGCTTTCCCAGAATGACCGACCTGGCTGCACCAAATGACAACACTCTTGGCACGGCGATGGCCGATTGGTTCCAAATTCTGGACTGCTGGAGCCTGGAGCGTTCTGATTTTAAACCCGTACATCACCTGCGAGTGCCCCCTCTCAAGAAGGTCGGCATCGCATTCGGGCTGCTGCGCCAGGCATGGATTGTCGGAGGCCCTGCACCACTCAGGCCTTCCAGTGAAAAATCTCACACTGCCATGCTAAGGTTGCCTTCAGAAAAGAAACCTCGCAGAAATAGAAATATCTGGAGGCTAAAGGTTTTCGCGAAAGTGGAGGCCTTGTGATTGTGACGTGATGCAAGCAAATGGGTGGGGCAGGACTTAAGGTAAGGACGAAGAGAACAGCGCGCACAGTAACTCTTCCCACCCGAACCCGGACAAAAGTAGATACATCACAATGCTCACAAGATTTCACAAGTCAGTTTCGTGCCTGCACTCCCAACTGGCGATATGTCTGGCTCCTCGGAGTCGGTTGTCTACTGCCATGCTCTGAGTCCGGATGCAATACTCCACGTTGGTGTCCATGTTATGCCATTTGCCATTTGTGCTGCACTTTTTGAGACATCGTGTTGAACTCTTGGGCCTGATTCTTGCCGAGCGACTTTAGCAGTGTTACCCTTCAGCGCCGGAGCAGAGGGCGAGCGAAGTGGTACAGGACAGTCTGGCGCACCTGGCACCTGGAGGGAGTGTCAATCTAAGTATATACATTGAATCTAGACCGTCTTTTTGATGTGGTTGTGTCGCTGAGTTGGCAAACAAAGTGCCTCAATTCAATGATATAATGATATTCTGTAGTCACTGGCCTAGTGTGTAGTGTCTAGCTGATGCACAACTGCAGTCCAGTCTGAAGTGATGCGCGTTGCAGCTTCCACTCACAGGCTGCAAACGCGAGCTGACCTCCTCCACCTCTCGGATAGGATCCAAGTCCTGGATTGCTCGCACTTGATAGAGCGCGGGCTGTTGCATCATCCCCACTTTGATTGCAACACAACTTCGTTGGGCCATGCATGGCAATGCAGTGGCACATTTACGTTGACACTATGATTTTCTTGCTGCTCAGGCTCCACCCTGGCAGAGACGGAGGGTCCATGGATGCCAAGGCAGTCTTGCAAGCTGATGCCACCGGTCTCCTGGCACCGCTAAATGCTTCGTTTGCATTCTTTCAATGATGCTCATGGGATGATTGTGCAGCTAGACTGATATAGACCTAGTTAGCAAAGAAGCTGATGTGCACGTGATGCATCTAAAACAGTCCTCTACTTGGCCCTCTCTCTGTGAATGTCCTAAAATGCCAACTTAAGTGCTCGAAATCCGACCGACCGAGTCAACATGTCCATCCACGCGATCAAACCAACCCCCTCTCTCTCGGACCGGATATGGGGGGTATCATTGTCAGCGCTCCTGTATCGACCTTCCAGCCAATCCGGCAGATACGAGACTCTTCGCCAACGGCTCTACAAGGACTGTAAGAAAAACCTCTCATGGCAACTGAGCACAAGTCAAACTCCCAGCGTGGGCAAAATGTCATCTCAACAGTCCAGGGGCCCCTCCTCTTCTTACCAGGGGCCTACATCCCCTACTGAACTGGGGTGGCATGTAGGGGCTGACATTGGCAAAATCCGGATTGTTACCCACCAATGAACTGCACACCCTCTTTCAAGGGGTGTCACTTGGCTCACGTGTCGGCTACCAATCCTGTGCTTGAGACACAATGACAAGTTCGTTTCACACCCGGCCATCGTAGCAAAGCTTGCAAGCCATCGCTGCCCGTCCTGCATGCGAGATAAGTTGTCCCGTCTGACGGTCAGCATGAACCATTCATATGTAATGTACTATGAATTGAGGGTTGTCTAGAAGGACCACCTTACAATCGAAGAATCGTTGGAATACTGTGCCAGTTCACAACCGCAAAACCATCCCAACATCGTCCTCATCTGATGCACTTGCAACGTAGGCCGTTCCAAGCATGCAGCAGCCAAACGAGTACAGCAAGATAAGTGCTGCAAACGCCTGCACATGGAGGAAGGATGAAGGCATACCCCTGGCATACAAAATTTGGAAGGTCAATATCTGCTAGCTGCTAGGTCAAAGCCAAGTGGTTGTGTGGCTCTCGTCTCGTCCCCTGTGTCCCCCGGCCACATCTTGCAGCCACCACTTCGTCACCTGCTGACGGCGCGACTCCGCATCCCACTGCACATCCTGCTTGAACTCCCGACCTAGTCGGCACATCGGTGTATTGCGTCTAGCACGTCGTTGCATGCGTTGTGCTTTTCCACACACCTGGAAGCACCTCTAAGTGCCAAGCTGTGGAACAACAGCAGTATCCCAGTCCAAAGGAGTTGCAGCAGCCTTCCGACGGGTTCAGAAAAAGAATCACAGCTGGTGGCCAGCAGCCATAAGTGGCTCAAAGAAGCTCAAGAGCTGCACGGCCTGGAGATGCAGGAAAAGAGTAGTTGAAGGCCAAGACCGCCAACGACACCTTCGACGTATTGCCTTGCACCAAAAGTATTTCTGCATGGCATGCAACTGCACATCTTACATGAAACTCAAAGGAATGGGCACTTGATGGTTTGGTGCTGCTATTGAGTTGGCCCTCTCACGAGACTCTCTCTTGGCCTCGATCCCGCAGCTTTGCAAGACTCGTCATTGCGAGGTTGCGTGTCTCCGACCACGAGGAAGAACAAAACCTGGAGAATATCACCACTGGGCTTATGATGGGTTATATAATCTCTTTAAACGAATTAGGAATACTGTATTGGACAAGGGGGACTTAGGCCAATCCACTGGCATGTGGGCGCCGCTTTCGCACTCTCGGGACGCTTTACAGGACAGCTCTACTGGATTAGAGTGCAGCTGTGCGTCAGAAAGGGCCACGCGGCCAAAGATGTTGGCCACCACCACGCACGCACGCATGAAGCATCGAGTGACCAGCGAATAGCTCCTTGAAACACCACATCAGCTACTTCACTGACACATGTATGTCAATGGTGAAAGCTTCGGGCCCCCCATAAAAGTGGCACTGTGTTCGAAACCTGACTGCCGACATGCATGACTGAGCTTGAAGTTGGTGCATGATTCAACCACACACACGCTATGCCGCTATATATATATATATACATTATATATACAAATACCCATGTTATATATGTATAGAAAAATGTGTGGGTGTGGGTGTGAATCTGAGCATGGCACTGCACAGCACGGTGCGGCTGGAACTGCAGAAAGAAAATCCAGAAACGACTTCGAATGCTGGGCCTCAGATCGTCGCACACATTCGTGGTCATATTGTCCCGCCACACAGCGATCGGGCTCTCAAGCAGTCCCAAAAAGGGGCAATCCTCAACTTGCAGGCCAGTTGCTGCGAAACCAATTCAGAGTACGAGGCAGTGATGGCCTGCTGAGTTCATCCAAATCTCATACCGTCAGTTCATTTACAGGAAGACCATCCAAACCAATTGATCAAACCCTTCCAAATCTCAATCTTAATCTCAATCTATCTCTATCTCTATCTCTATCTCTATCTCTATCGATCGATCTATCTATCTACAGTATCTATCTGCCTGAGCACTAACACTAACACTCAACCTGTCCGCCACTTTGGGGTTGTGCCAGGCATGGAGGTTGAGGAGTCACGCCTTCCATCTCTTCAAAAATATCCTGCCTGCTGGACCTTTAGTTGCAAGGCAAGAAAGTCTGCATTCCGCTTTCGTGTCCAGGCAGATTCTTCATTCGCAAAAGTCACCTGATACCTGGCAGCTCCAGCAGTGGCGTTTCATATGAGTTTCGAAGCAACAATGTCCAGGAAACATCACGCATGCCATCAAAAAGAACCATCTGTCATCCGATCCGGCTGCTTGAATTGATTTGAACCCTGCTATACGTGTGATGATGAATGATGTGTGTATAAATATACTCCGTGCATGTGTGTGTGTGTGAACCCCTGTCACTCTAAGGGGGCACCAGCACGCTTATCTTTACTTTTAATGCAATTTTAATACTTGGATGCCGTCAAGACGTCTGACTGTGTACCTTCTTTTTGTGGCGTTATTAAGCTGTGACTCTTATTTTTCCTGTAAAGTGCTAATGCGCGTGTTCAAAAAACACAGTTTTGGCCGACTCTTCACCTTGTTATCCTTGTTGTTTTTCAAGGTCTGCTGCAGTAACTTCAAGAGCTAATGCACCGGACATTCACAACTGACGCTTGCTCTTGCGAGCTCCATATCTAAGTGTGCGCGCGCGTGAAAATAGATAGATATAAATGTACACCTACCACATACATATGCACAACGCGTTTCCTCGAGCTCGTGCCCTGAAGGCCATAGTCAACATGCCTATGTAACTCATCAGCCCAGGCACATGTGCAAAAGCATGAATTGCACATCTAGCTCAGTAAGGTGCAACTTCGTGGCTGCCGCTGTCCTACCAGGGTTCCGGGCGGGGATGGGTCCTTGCCAACTAGAGCTAGGACAAGAAGAGCACAGACGAAAGCGCAAGCAGAATGAGACCAAACACAGCGACCCCCCTGCGATTCATTCTTGATCTCGTGACTTTGCTATTTAAAAATCAGCGCCCGGACGATCATGAGGTCCTTACACAGAAGATCCCCAGGTAGTTGGCCAACCGGCTCATCGCTTCGTTTCGACTCAAGGCACTCAAGGCACCACAGCCCAGCGCTCGAAGTCTCGAGGCCAGGCTCAGCTTGAAGACCTAGATCTCAAGTAATCAATGCATTTGCATTATGAATCTAATTCTGACTCAGACTTTGTGAGCTCCACTCAAGAGATCTCAAGAGCGTGGCAGAATAGAAAGGCAAAAAAAAAAACGCTCGTTTGAACAACTGAACTGCTCTTGCCTGAGCATGGGCCGCATCACGAGTGAGGAAGTACTCTTCCTTCCACCATCCCTGAGAAGAAAACACTAAGAGACTCAGAGCAAGGAACACCTTTCGCACGTGCCTGCCGCCGCATCCGCAAATCCCGGCATACAGCGGCAGCGAGAAAAATGATGTGGAAAAGGGCAACCGCCTGAACCAAGGGCGAAAACAGCGAAAGCAAAGACGACCAAAACTGGAACACAAAGTCCGCAAAGTGCTGCTTATGCAACCAAAATACCCAAAGTGCCAGAGCTGGAGCTGAGGAAGGCCAAACATTATCCTTGGCCAAAAACGAGTAGCTTTGGAGCCGCTTTGCCTTTATCTCCGGATCAATTATGCTCCAGTCATGGAAACAAAAGTGAATCACTTCAGTCCAAGGGACTGCAGAAAAGCCCAGTGAGGAGGCAGTGAGAGTCTCACACATTGGAGGCTTGCATGGCTGTGCGAAATGCCACCAGCGATGCTGAAAGCGAGAAGCCAGGCCAGGTCACCCACAGAAACACAACAGAAAGATAAGCCGATCTGCACTAGGTGAACCTGCTTCTGCTCAACCGGCCGAGGGAAAATAGGTTTTGACTTCAATTGAACATCATAGAAGCCCTATATATATATATATACCCGTCTCACCTTCCACAAGTTCGCCCTGAGTTGCCCTATAGGAAGGGTGGAAGACTTGCCCGCGGACGTGTAGTCTAGGTCCGCGTGTCTGCGTCTCTGCATCTGTATGTTCACACGTCTAACTTATGCAAGCTCTTGAGCTACTGCGAGGAGTCAATGGCACACAACACACAACAAAGCTGGATGGAGCCAAAATCCATCGCAGAGTGATTCACAAACACGGGTTTCTAGGGGTGCACCTACATTCATCTATCCAAAGCCGCGGGGCTTCTGCTTGTTCTCGCCGAACTGCGGTGAGAAAGTCTTCAAAGCCGCAGAACGGCACTTGAAGGTTGAAAAACAGAGTTTTGTTCAACCTCTCGTTTTTCAACCTCCCCGTGGTCTACGGAAAAAGCATGAGAAGGATGCGTTCAATCAATGTAGCACATAATGGAGTTAAAGCTGATGACATCCGGATCGACCTTCGATTGTGGCATGGCTTCGAAGAGAGCCAGGGCTTGCTGCCAATACCCACTCTTGCCGCATGAACTGATGGTGGCATTGAAGCTGACGACATCGGGTGAAACTTGAGAAATGCGCATGGTATGAAAGACACCCAAGGCTTGCTGCCACTGGGAGCTCCTTTCACATGAACTGATGGTCGCATTGCAGCTGATGACGTCAGGATGGATCCGATGGTCATGCGTGTGCAAGAGATACACAGCTTTCTCCCACTGCACGCCTTGGGCACAAGAAGTTATCGCAGCATTGACGCTCACAAGGCTCGGTTGGATCTTGGCATCAGTCATGGACTCAAAAAGTCTCAAAGCATGTTCCCAGAGTTGACTCTTGCTGCAGGCGCTCATGGTTGCATTATAACTGATGACGTCTGGTGAAACCTGTCTGTCCGGCATCGCCTCAAAGAGGCTCAAGGCCTGAAGCCCTTGCTTTCCCTTTCCACACGCGCTGATCATCGTGTTGAAACTGATGACATCCACCGTCCACCGTCGTCCCATGCCACTGTCAAACAGCTCCAAGGCGTGGCGCCAGCGTTCCGCAGCATTGCACGCGCTGAGGGTCGCGTTGAAGGCGGCCGTGTCGAGGCCATGCGCTTGGGCGGTGTCTCGCTTCGACTCCAAGAGGGCTAGGGCTTCCTGCCACAACTTGAACCTCGCACAGGCAGAGATTCCCATGGTATATGTCCGCACGTCCGTGTCACTGCCGTTCAACACCTCAAGCGCCTTGGAAATGATGTCTGCGCGGTTCATCCTCGCCAATGCCTGGATGATCTGGGCGTGTGCAACCTTCTTGGACGGATTGTGATTTGTTAAAGCATCTCTCACAGCTGCTTCCGTAGGAAATCTGGCAAGATCAAGAAGTCTTGGTAGCGGATCTGACCCTATCAAGCTTCTTCTTCTTCTCTGGCATCCCTTGTGCCTACCTCTTCTGGCTGAGCACAAACGAAAGCTAGTTGCAGCCGCATGGGCCAAGTGTGCCTGACACCCGAGAAGGCTCATGCCCGTACAACCCTTTGAGCCATGGCTCCTTCAATTCTGAGACTTCGAGGAAGTGGGGCAGCGCGGTCACTGTGACACACTGTGGCTCAAGAAATGGGGTTTAAATCTCTCTCTCTATCATTTGGCTATCCGGGCGACCTTCCAAGCTCCTCATCCAAACCCTTGCATGTGTTGATTGGACTCTGCTTGTGGGAAATCTCTGAACGTGTTCATAGAAAGGTAGTTGTATATATAGCTATCCCAAAAGAGAAAAACTACTGGACAGGGCTAAGGTCTGACTGTGACTCCATAGCGGCCGTCCCTCTGACAGAAAGGATTTCAAAGGCTGATGTTCATGGATTGCATTATACATACCAAGTCAGAAAGTCCGAACTTAACAAACCACACAGCAACCAGTCCTTCTGGATGGGAGCACTTGCCTAAATAGAATGCACTATATAGTCATGAGTGCAGCGCTAAGCCGCTAGGAAGTGTTCTGGACTATGATTACCAGAAATCGCTATGCCCCCTCCACGGTTTGCACAACAACATATTCACAACAGCCACGGGATCTTGCAGGACTGCCTGCGCTCAGAAATAGAAGCCAGTCAAGATGCATGAGGCGTGCCATTACGGCACACAATTGGCACTCTGCATATACCCATTTGCCAAAAACAAGGGTGAACCGGTGAACCGTGAACCTGTGGGTCGGGCCTGCATGGTGTGTGTGCGCGGCTATCGACACGCTTTCGGCTTTGGTGCTCTTTGTCTTGGCCATCTTTTGGATTCGGATTCTCCCGGTTTTGTGGACTGAAGTCCACTCCCGCAACGGCGCTTCACGCCAACAACTTGGAAAAAGAAGCACAAAACGGGATATCACCCTCAAGTCATCTTCTTAGAAGATCACTCCCAGAGTGCATTAGCCTTTGCTGTAGCAACTAACCATATGCCCTCACAGCAAAGCTAGGCCAAGAGGGTCTGTTCTTTCAATATTGCATCCATAAAGCCCCTAGCCCCAGGCTCTCCACCGCCCATCTGGGTTTGGAGAGCTGCAGTTGAAAGTTACAAACATTACAAAACTAAACTGTGGAGGACTGCAGCGAAAACATCAGAATCGACAGGTCCGGAGATGGCCGTGGTACAATGTCTGGAGGTAAGTCCTGCAAACCAGGAAGTACGCCCGATGACCAAGAGCAGAAGCCATGCAATCGCTGGTGGGCCTAGGTAATTAGTGCAAATCATGTTGCACTCTCCATAAGATTCTTGACCGTTGTCCTCCTCCACTGGCGGCAGAGGAGAAATGGTTGACATGGGGCTCTGAGTCCTCAAAGCAGGATCCGCGCGGGCGCGGGCGCGTACGCGTACAAAGGCACAAGAACAATTATATATATATAAAGACTCACACCCAGTGTTTTTCACCCGCGCATGCAGTATTGTGTCAAGAAATAGTTAAAAGGTCAGCATAATAGGCGAGAAAGACCCTCTTTCTTCTGGTGCTTCCCTCGCAC